AGCTGGAAATGTGGAGTTTTATTCCGCCACTACCAAGGAAACTCCTGCCCAGGTACCTGTAGATTTAGCGTTCATTTAATGCACTCAATAGGTGGTTTATGTACGAGAAATTAGAAAAGGGGCATGGTAATGGTTTCTACGGATTCTGCCTGCATGGCACTTTTCTCAGTTCCCCGACTTGATAAATAAAAAATACGAATTGTGTCATTTTTTAGCAGATCAACCATATAAGGGTAGATAAATTGAAGCAGGCGTCAAAGCTTCTTCCATAAGGTGGATATCTTCTTCACTTCGAGGCACAATTTTGATTACAGAGAAGTATAAAAGTGCCAATTTTTGATTTAGAATTAGCAACCTTTAAAAATAAAATCTGAAGCACTAAAAATGACAACTTTCAGAGAAAGTGAATAGGGATTTGGAAACAGTCTTTGTTTAATTTAGCTGAAATAATATTGCTTTAAATAAGTATACCAATCGTGACCCTTCATTTGCACGTTGGGTGTTTTTAAGGAATGCTTCCCTACAAACTAATCAGTATAGTTTATTTCACTAATATTTTTTTAGCAAATAGCAGCGATGGCCTTCGAATATTTTCTTTTGAGAAGTCGGCTGGTCTGCAGATCTTGGATAAGTACGTCAGACTTATTATATAAGTGTATACTTACATGTGAAGGGAAACGGAGTGCTCTGTTACGGCATTGGCGTTTACTCCTGATGGATGCAAGCTAGCAGTCAGTGATGGTGAATGGTGAGTCCATACTGTTCCTGCCAATGAGTCTTTTGCTGACGCTTGATTGCCGTTCGCTTATGTTTACGCCACTTATTCTCGAATTTCTTTTGATGAAATTTATTCCTTTTCGTCGCCTTTTGTCTCTTTTCAGTATAAGTGTTCGCAATACAGATGACGATAAAAAAGTGGCTTCAATTGATCGAAAAAACATTTCCAAGTTTGCTCTATCTCCCGATGCTAAAGTCTTGGTTACTTTTGAAAATTTTCGGGGTTAGTTTCCTTAGTAGTTCACATACGATTGCAGAGACAAAAGACAATCCAAACGGGTCTCCCAATCTTTTTACCTACGACTTGGAGTCTGGCAAAATACTCGATTCGCGGATCCACATCCCAGCTGAAACATGGTTTGTTGGCCGCTCCATTTTATCCCCTTTTACTGAAATCCTTTTTAGGCGTCCGCAATGGTCTTCGGACAGCAAACTATGTTTAAGGATGTTCCAAGGCCAGATTCATTTTTACGTTGATAATCGCCTGAGTAAGTCGAAACTCTCTAATCTTTATTGTTATCATTGCCAGTGTCTTTTTGTCAGTTTGTTTTTATACTTTCTACCTGGACAAATTTGAGGGGGTGATACACAATCTGGAGTGTAGTGTGTACAGTAGGCACCCTATCTTGTAAAATGAAATTTTGAAACTTATTTTGAAACCTATTTTCGGTTAGAAAGGATTACATGTATGAGAATGCAATTCTTAGTATCGTGCAGCATAATCCAAGATGCCAACTTTTAAGTGCGCCTCTTTCCGGTCGCTTAAAGAAATCAGAATTGCTACTTAACACTTTGACTGCGACTCCCAAAATAGCCCGGAGTTTGCCATATTGCGTGTACCACATATGGCGCACGTCGCAGTCAAAGTGTTAAATTGAATAAAAAATTTCTCCTGGTTTTCGAATGCCCTGTAAACGTGAATATATCTTACAGCAAACACGTAAAACAATATACCTTCTTGTACTGATATGATAGCAAATCAGGCCCGAACTTTTTTGCTCAAGGAAAGAACAGTGCTGGATTTTTTAAAGTTTTTTTCTCTTAAAATCCCGAATAATTACAAACTCGACCCGACTTTGCACTTTTGTGTGAGTCTTAATTGGTCGAACGTGCTCACTATGAACTTGTCCCTCGTAAAGTGGAAGGAAGGCTGCTGACCACTAGTGAATGTAATTTCTGATGGTCATTGTGTTTTGGCATGTATTTAGGAAGCCTATCCTGTTAACATAATCCCCAGGATGCCGAATTTATATGCGCTTGTTTCAGTTAATATATCAGATATCACATCTGCTGTACATATCCTTAATTCGTTCCATTTCGAATACTTCCTTTGAGTTTCACTGTACGAAATACTTGTGGTTTTGACGCTTCGCAAAGATGGCTTTTATATTTTGGGGTTTTTATCCCCCGGGAAATAAATGTGGGATCTCGCTGCACGATAATCAATATTACGAAAACACTAGAATTTTGGCAAACAGATCAGGAGATGTCACGCCTATTGTACATACAATTTCCCCTCGTTTCTTCCCATTTATCTCTTGAGTTTAATCATATGAAATACTTGTGGTGTTAAAGATAACATATTTAGTCGCGAAGATTGCTTTTCATCTGGCGAATTAATTCTCTGGAAACACACCCATTAAGTTGCCAATGAGGCGTTTGCTGTCTTAGGTGCGGTTGCTGGTTTTAGTTGGAATTGTGGTTATCTTCACCCTATTTGCTTGACTGTCATTTGCAAAAAACCCATAATATCTTCGTAGTGATGATTTAAAAAAACAAAACTGTTTCTTAATTAAAGACTTGCGGTTCCCTTTTTGAAACCGCTCATTTAATTGTCTCAGGTGGTACTTTTCCCGTCTCTCCCCCATGTCACCGCGAAATTTGTTTAAGTTTTGCAAATAAATCGCTTTTTTTCCAAGATGAAAAGCCGTGCAAAACCCTGACGCTCGCCGGAATGCGCCATTGCTCCCTGGCTAAGTCCTCAGTTAATCGTAATCTGGCTGTCTACGTTCCCGGTAAAAAGGTACGCTCGTTGACCCTCCCCCTCCCCTCCACGCCCATCCTCACATCTCTCACCCACAATAACCTCGACATTTGCTCCGGCTGGTTAACTTTTCGGAGCAAAGTCTGTCCATACCTGTCACTTTCTTGTCCCTCCTAATTTGCCCTAGTTCATGCGATATTTGACCTACCTGAAACTTAAAAGCCGAAATACTCTGTTTGGAGAGAGTGACAGAATTTATTTCCCCGACAACTAAACACATCTATCACTGAGTAAATTAGGTAGACAGAAGGTTGGTCGAGCACCGGAACTGTTGGTTCATTGTCCCTAGCTTCCAAACTCGTATAGAAGTTCATCGTCAGAGGTAACAACAGCAACAACAGACTGAAAGAAAAGGTACGTGAGGCCCGATATCTCTGCGACCAATTTATGTATAATAGATATCCAAAGATGTTTATAAGCTGATGTCTACGCGTTGGGCCTCGGAGAATCCAAACCGAAGCACCACCGAGGATATGGCACGCTTTGCCATACACTAGGGCCGTCTCAGAAACGGCTGAGCTCAAGGCTGTGGGATTAGGTGTTGGAATTGCACACCAACCGAAGGCTACCATGCGCAGCAGTGTGATTAAAATAAAAAAGCCACCTTAATCTCAACAAGAGATCTGGGTTAGAGTATCGCATTCCATGCCTAAGCTGTCCCCGTAACTACACAGTTCAACTTGGACGTATTCTCGGATCGCGCATACATCAGTATCAGTATCAGTATATTGGGGGATATGTAGGAAAAATTCCTTTGAGTGCCCTATTTGTACATATGTGCAGT